GATAAATATAAAAGGTATAGGGTCATTTGAATAGAGAGCTGGTGGACTCAGGAAATGGTACTCTGAACTGATCTAGCCCAGGGGATAAATGCTTGTTCCATCTTACCTGGACTGGCTTCCTTCATGAGCCAGATAGGATATACTCAGACACTTTGCTTGGAAAGTGTTCATTTGGTATATGTCCTGGCCAAATTGTGCTGAGCTTCCTCTGTGCTAAGGAGACTCCATTGTCCTACTGAAAATGGATGTACTTTCAGTCTTAACTGTTGGTGTGAATATTTTGTTGCTTTTGCTTCCTTGCTGTTTCTCCTCCCATTTTTATAGTAGCAAGACATAGAATTTTCTTTGAGGCATTATCCTTGACCCAAAGGTCAGTCCATAGTTTAGATAGGGCTGATTATCCTTTCCCCCACCCACTTCCAGGATTTTAGAGGACAAAGCTAATTAGCATATATGTCCTCCTCAGCACAGTGATTGGCTCAGGAATGGCATTTGATTGGATTTGGGTCAGTGAGGGTCAGGCTCAGGATTTTTACTGGAACTGCTGGGGGTAGGGGGGTGTTGGGGGAAGAAATTCTGTTTCTGTTGGTTTGGAGGTTTATGGCCAATCTAGGAGGTAATACAGGCCATTATAAGATAAAAGGCTATGTGAGCAGGAAATCTGCATGGAGGATATTTCTACAGAGGAAAACCAACACTGAGATATGAGAAGGGGTATCTCCTGAGAATAACTGATTGAGCATGCACATCCAGCCAGGCCTGAAGCCTGAAGTTTTCAGGTATAGTAAATAAATTCCATTTATGCTTAAGCTAGTTTGATTTAGCTTTTTGTTACTTATTATAGAAATAGTCCTAATTAAATTTACCCAAGGGATACAGGAATGCTGATGCATAGGGGCACATGTACCCCAATGTTCATAGCAGCACTCTCAACAATAGCCAAAACATGGAAAGAGCCTAAGTGTCCGTCAACGGACGAATGGATCAAGAAGATGTGGTATATTTATGCAATGGAATACTACATGGCAATGAGAAAGAATGAAATCTGGCCATGTGTAGCAGCATGGATGGAACCTGAGGGTGTTATGCTGAGTGAAATAAGTCAGGCAGAGAAGGAAAGATACCATATGTTTGCACGTATAGGAGGATTAGGAGAACTTAACGGAGGACCATGGGGGAGAAGACAGGGGGAAATACGGGGGGAGAGGGAGGGAGGCAAACCATGAGAGACTCTTGAATGCTGAGAACAAACTGAGGGCTAATGGGGGTGGAGGGAGGGGAAGGGGGGTGATGGGCATGGAGGAGGGCACTTGTGGGGATGAGTGCTGGATGTTATATGGAAACCAACTTGACAATAAACTATTTAGGAAAAAAAAAAAAGAAATAGTCCTAATTAACATGTGTTCAGGGTAATGGGGATAGAGATCTATGTTGATAGCTGAGATTAGTATAATTCCATTAATAATATTTTGGAACATTTTGAGATAAGATGAATATAGTCCTTGAGCTGCAAAAATTGAATTCTTCCCTCCTTACTCCATCTCCATGGCCCCTTCAGAAATGGCAATTCCCTATGTTCTCCCTCCTACCTCTGTGCCCTCTTCCCAAGGAAAGTTGTTTATTATAGTAGGTTTTTATGAAATAAATGCCCTTATATATCTGCTTTCCTCCCTTTGGAAGCAGCTGAGGTGAGAGGAGCAGGAGCCCTGTGCCTACTTGGAAAATAATATTTAAAGAAAGAGACAGGCAAGTATGTCCGTTATAAGCTTTTTCTTTTTTTCTTTTTTAGAATTGAAGCTTATGAGTTTATCTATGCCCACTATATTCATAATTACAATTTAATATCTGCATACAAAAGCTATGTAAAAATTCATTTTTCCCAAATATACAAATTTTCTTTCTGGATAGTTTAAAACATTTTGATCACAGATTTTAACAGAGTTTTAGGCTGAAAAAAAATTACCAACCCAGCAATATCACTTAACACTGTTTGCAAAACACATTATCTTCCAATGACTGTAAATCTTTTCCTATTCTGTAGCATTTTTCTGATTCTCAGGGCATGAAAACATTATGGGGGGCAAATGTGTTTTCTCTGGAGAAAGCATAGAGAAATAACTTGGCTCTCTAATCAAATGAACAATGCCAAGTTAATTAGGAAGAACCAAAATAAAGAAGTAATGTCACCTCATTTATGCCCTTACATCTTTTTATCAACAATACCTGCATAATTAATTAAAGTGTCTTCTTCTGTCTTACATTGTGCTCTGTAATTTATATGAGTATTGTCTGCATCCTGAGGAGGACAGATTTATAGTTGATTGTCTTGTGCATAAGGTGGGTCAGCTTTAACTGTGCAACACAAAGCCACAAACAGCATTTTACCTGCACGATATTGCTCTTGAAGGCGGCATTAGTTAATGTGGAAACACACTAGAAATGCACACTTTTGCGTTTGCAAACATTTATACAGCACAGTAAAAATTCTGTGATAAGGCCAAACCTTTTTTTCCCCCTAGCCTGGTTTTGTGTGTGTGTGTGTGTTTTTAATGTATTTTTTTTTTTAAAGATTAAAGTAAAATGTTTCAATTGTAAAAAATACACACCGGGCAAATCCTTACCTGGATAATAAATATCTACATCACAGTACAATAAAATTTCTTCTCTATAAAATTTAAATATGGATTATAGTCTATCACTATCAAAAGAAACACTATGCTAATATTTCCATATTATTAAAATAACAGGAAAAATTACAAGCTTATTTTAGAACCTGATGCCGTAGCTGTTGGAAAGGGCAAAGAGATTCAAATGTAAGCACTCTCCTTCGGGAGAAGAACTGCGGCTTAGTTATTCGCTTAAATTCCATTTGTGAAAAAGGTTTAGCCTTACAAACGCTGGCTACATTTCAAAAACCATAAGACCGATTTCATAATTTATGACTCATGCATCAGAAGGTCAATATGACACGAGTAGGTTAGAGTTCCATAGAATAAAAGTGTCTCACTGACAATGACATGCTTTGAGGGTGCTCAGCAGTTCCGTGGAGGCTGAGTCTGTTGGGGCCTTAGTGTTGTGGAGGGGGCCAAGACGTGGCACCTGTCCACAGAAGAGCAATTGAGAATGGCCTTGCTGGAGCAGAGCCAAGCCTGGCGGTCTACCCCGATGACTGATGGCCGCACTGCAGATGGAAGAGGTGTCGTGTAGGGCACAGGTGAAGGGGGATCACTGGGCTGAGGCATCAACACGGCAAGCACATCATTGAGGACCGAGGCTCATTTGACTAGAAAAAGCTCTGAGGCAGCACGTGGTGTGTTGAGCAGAATCAACAAGAAGTAAAGATCTTATTTTTTTTCACTATTTCTGGAAATACTGCACATCTAAATTGAAGAGCAAAGTACACTTGAGGATTACAAACACACACACACAACCACCCACCCACATACACCCCCCACGCCACGCATCCCCACCCCCCCAAATTAAATGATTTATAAATAAGAATCCCAGATGTACAGGTGTGTTCTCCTTTGCTGGGATGTCTCCCCTCTGTGAGGGGTTGCTGTCAGGTTCACACTTGATTAGAAAGCCCGGACAATATAGGAAAAAATGTAAAAAAAAAAAATCCAGAGTAAATCCCTCCCGATTGAGTTTTATGAGATGGAGGCTTGAGATGCATTAAGTACCTCAACCAGTTACAGAAGAAATGAATCATTTTGACCCCAGGGTCCTGATCCTTTGAGTCCTTACAGCCTTTCCCTTCAAACTGAAGTACTTTAAGGAGTGTCCTGCTCAGCATAAAGTATTCAGCCTTCAACAAGGGTTTCAGATCAGTGGTTTGCCTTTTTAAGGCAATCACTTTAGGAACTGAGGATCAAACATAAATTTACTTGGAGCTGGCTGGATTACTGTACATATACTGTCCCATTTGGCCAATTACTGTGCATACACTGTCCCATTTGGCCAATGCCCAGCCATGGTTAATCCCCAAGGCATTCATATTTAGCCTTAGATCTGGCTCTGTACTTATATTTGAATCTGGGTGGATCTCACATACTTCAGAATCTCTGTCAAACAAATTGAGGAAACTTTCCCACGAGGGCTTGATGCCCAAGGGGTCTGTGAACCCTCCAGTACCCTTCCTGCTTTGACTTCCTCTCATTCCCTTCTGAGAGAAAACTTGCCTCTCACCACAGAGCTTCTCAGAGTTACCCTGGAGTGTAGAAGGTGATTCAGTGTCGTTTCAAAGAGTACTTCCCCAAGGAGAGTCTGAATTGCTAGCAAAGCAAGGGTTTCAGGAGACTCGTAAGAGACTGCCTTAGAGAAAACAAAATGAAACAAACTGTAGATAAAGTCGGGGCAGGTAATCTACCTCTGAACTTCATGGTTATAATTTTAATCTCTTCCCCTACTTTCTCTCTTTGCTTACCGAGTTCCATAGTGATATTCTTGTTTCCTCTTCCTAGGAAGTCAGTGTAATCGCTTTCACGCATTAAACATATATTTTTCCCTCCAGGTTATTCCCAGTCACACTTAGGTTTTTCAGTGCTGTTCCTCTCCTTTTTCCAAGGCCATCCTGCCTTTCTCTAAATACTTGATGAGTAGTATGTCAAATTCTTATTTTGACTCAATACCAAATATGCTTTCCCTAACTGTTAAAGGGCTGTAATTTCTGTCTAATAAAGCTAAAAATTTGAAATATGAAAGAAACCATTGAAAAGATACAGATATAGATCCCCCCCTCCCCCCACCGAACCAGTACAAGAGTAAGGATGGGAAGGATTTTAAAGTTCATGACTTTCTTTCAGGTAAGAAAACCCAGGGTCACAAACCCACCAGTCTGACAGAGCACAAACTAGAACTCAGGCATCCTGACTTCTGGGCAAGTTAAAAAAGAATTAGTCCACCTGGTTGTCACAGTGACTTGCATTCCTTTGTTTTTTAGGTAAATCTCACCCATATGGCTTATTTTCCCCAATATTTCCAGGATAAGGCAGTTCAAGGCAGGTAAAGGAATAGTTTATGTCTACTATACCAGTGAAGAATAAGATACATTCAATTGCCTGGGTACATTCTTCGCACACTTTCTGAAGTTGAAATGATCAGGGGTCACCATGGGTTTTCTGAGCAGAGCCTACTCCAGCGTTTATCATCAGGGAGGAGGGTTAGGTAGGCAAGGGGAGTAAGGTTTGTGTACATGGTCTGCAGGTATTTTCTGTGAGATCTCTGTCAGAGAGGCAGAGAGGGTCAGTGGCCAGACCAGGCTTTGTTCAGTGATAGTCAAGCCTGACAGAGGGAAAAGGGGACTTGGAAGCATTTGTTTGTAGAGCAAAGAGCTTGAGGATCTAAGACCAAAAGGAACCATCAGCACACGAAGACACTCTCAGAACACTGCACTTCCTTCAACTCAAAATGTACCGCACTAATCTTGCCTCAGAATTCCTCCACAACAAGACTCAAATTTTAGCTTGTTATCTCTCCTTGATTAGAAGATTTAATCCACAGGGAAATCTGTTGTCAGCTCAGCAAAGATGCAATCAGGATTAAATAACTTCAGGAGTTTGGGAGATGACAGATCAGATGTCATTGAAAAGTGACAACACTCTGTAAATAGGTTTGATTTCTTTGGAAATTTTCTCTGAGCCTAAACTGTAAAGAAGCCTTCCTTACTATGAGGTAAGACTATGTGAATTTTTGGAAACTGTTTAGTCATTGAGATTAGTTAAGTTTTCTAATTTCTTTGGGCTCACGGAGGAAAATCGTTTCCCTTGTTGGCCTCAATCAGTCACATACCTGCATATCTTTGAGTCACACCCTTATATAACTTGAATTAAATCATAGGATGATAAAAATTATAGTGAAAGGACAGCTGATTTTTCAGGAACAAATATTCCTATACATTCTAGGTTATGCTGCCAGGAGAGAATGAAGGGTGAGGAAACAGAGTGCTCTTGAATAGATAAAAATCAGTTCAGACCCTTCCCTAGAAAGCTGAAAGCCACATCTAACCAAAGTTGGTCTGTGCCGTGCTAATTGGAGTCCTGCAAAAATCAGGGCTGGATCAAGATGACCATATTATCTTGGTTTAAGGCTTCATTAGTCTTCTGCCATGCCATTTTGCTTGCTTGAGTCTCTGACCAGGGATGGATGGGAGCTGGTGATGGCTTGGTGCTGGTGAATTAATGATTGTCCCCACCCCACCTCCACAACTGTAAAACCTTCAAAGCATTCACATCAAAGGACTGGAGAACAAAATGCAATAGTTACAAGTACCCGCATTCAGGGGGCAATTTCATCCATGTCTATGCTAAGGACTACCTCCCTTTACCCCCAGATAGTCTCTCCCAACACAAAGAAACGAAGGAACAAACAAAAAAGAGCTAGGCAATGGAATGAAATGACACCCAGTAGTGCTGTAGGAATTATGAGAATAAAGTCAGTCAGTCTAATCCTCAAACACTTCCAAGAACAATGGGGGAAAGAGTTCCGTGGGGCATTCCACCTTCATGTGCAGGAAGCGGCTGGCATGGCAGGCTCCAATCATCCTCAGGTCTGTCACCTTCATCAGCAGTTTTGGCCAAAAGTGTGTCACATGATGTTTTCGGTAATTGATATAGTGTTCAAAGGCCAGCAGGAAACTATCCTGGTATTTTTCTATCCTTTCAACACAAGCGAGCCCTGGGCGGTCTGAGGGAAAGAAAGAAGATGGATGTTAACTCAGAAATGAAAAGGAGAAGGTTTTCTTTGTCCATTTCAAGCCCTTTAGTGTGAAGTGGACAGGTCTGGGGACCTATCAACTCCTATGAATGAGCATGGATATAACATGAACTCTGGGGCATTAGGGACCAATGGCATCAGGGAAGTGTCAAAATTTACATAAAGGGAGTCAATGCTTTGTTCAGATAAATTCTCTGGGTTAGACAAATCACCTCTTTGGGTGGGAATGGCAATGCCTCCCTCTTAGGATACAAAAGGAAAAGCCTCACCTACAGAGTTTAAATACTGTGCATACAACTGCACAAAAAAAAAAAAAAAACCCATAAAATACCTAGGAATAAACCTAACCAAAGATATAAGAGATTTGTATGATGAAAACTATAGAAAACTTATGAAGGAAAATGAAGAAGACACAAAGAAATGGAAAAACATTCCATGCTCATGAGCCGGAAGAATAAATATTGTTAAAATGTCATTACTACCCAAAGCAATTTACACATTCAATGCAATCCCAATTAAAATTGCACCGGTGTTCTTCTCAAAACTAGAACAAACTATTCTAAAATTTGTATGGAACCACAAAAGACCTTAAACAGCCAAAGTAATATTGAAGAAGAAAACCAAAATGGGAGGCATCACCATCCCAGGCTTTAGCCTCTACTACAAAGCCGTCATCATCAAGACAGTATAGTATTGGCACAAAAACAGACACATAGACCAATGAAATAGAACTGAGAACTCAGAACTGGACCCACAAATGTATGGCCAACTAATCTTTGACAAAGCAGGAATGAGAATCCAATGGAAAAAAGACAGCCTCTTTAAAAGATGGTGCTGGGAGAACTGGACAGCAGCATGCAGAAGAATGAAACTAGATCATCTTTTCACACCATACTCAAAAATAAACTCAAAATGGATAAAGGACCTGAATGTGAGACAGGAAACCATCAAAATCCTAGAGGAGAAAGCAGAAAACAACCTCCTTGACCTCAACCACAGCAATTTCTTACTTGACACATCCCCAAAGGGAAGGGAATCAAGAACAAAAATGAACTATTGGGACTTCATCAAGATAAAAGGCTTCTGTATGGCAAAGGAAACAGTCCATAAAACTAATAGGCAACTGATGGAATGGAAAAAGATAGTTGCAAATGACATATCAGATAAAGGGCCAAAATCTATAAGGAACTCACGAAACTCCACCCCCGAAAAACAAATAATCCAGTGAAGAAATGGGCAGAAGATATAAACAGAGACTTCTCCAAAGAGGACATCCAGATGGCCAACAGACACATGAAATAATGCTCAGCGTCCCTCCTCATCAGGGAAACACAAAACAAAACCACACTGAGATACCACCTCATGCCGGTCAGAGTGGCTAAAATGAACAAATCAGGAGACTCTAGATGGTGGTGAGGATGTGGAAAAACGGGCACCCTCCTCCACTATTGGTAGGAATGTAAGCTGGTGCAACCCCTCTGGAAAACAGTGTGGAGGTTCCTCAAAAAATTAACAATAGAACTCCCCTATGACCCAGCTATAGCACTGCTAGGAATTTACCCAAGGGATATAGGAGTGCTGATGCATAGGAGCACATGAACCTCAACGTTCATAGCAGCACTCTCAACAATAGCTAAAACATGGAAAGAGCCTAAGTGTCCATCAACCCACGAATGGATCAAGAAGATGTGGTTTATCTATACGATGGAATACTACATGGCAATGAGAAAGAATGAAATCTGGCCATGTGTAGCAACATGGATGGACCTTGAGGGTGTTATGCTGAGAGAAATAAGTCAGGCAGAGAAGGACAGATACCATATGTTTGCACGTATAGGAGGATTAGGAGGAACTTAACGGAGGACCATGGGGGAGAAGAAGGGGAAAAATAGTTGGGGAGAGGGAGGGAGGCAAACCATGAGAAACTCTTGAATACTGAGAACAAATTGAGGGCTGATGGGTGGGGAAGAGGGGAAGGGGGGTTATGGGCAAGGGGGAGGGCACTTGTGGGGATGAGCACTGGGTGTTACATGGAAACCAACTTGACAGTAAATACTTAAAAAAATAAATACTGTGCATAATAAGGGAAAGATTTTGAGTTTCCACTGGCTGCCTGGCAGAGAGAAAAGACAAGCATGGACATGCAGAGAAGGGGAGATATGAGAAGAGACTGGAAACATTGCAGGAGGCCTGAATGCCAAAGGAAGTGTCAGATAATAAGAAATTCTCATGAAGGCAAAGAAGTACAATATCCAATTTTAGTTATTTGCCAGGCTGCGATGAGCCACTCCTTCCCTTCCCTTATACATTTAATAAAACTTCTACCTGTAGGAGCCTGGTGTTGGGGATGTTTTGGGGGAACTAAATGAAAAGGAAAGAAGCTAGCAGCGCCCCGTGCAGGGCAGGGAAGAATTACAGTGAGAAGCTGGAGCTAGAGGAAGCCATGACCATGTAATCACCGAGAAATCTTCCCAAGTCTTGGAGGACTGCTGGCCTTCCCACAATATGTGTTTGCAACTTCACACAAAAGATAAAGGGTTGTCATGAGAGGGTGGTGCCTGGGGCACATCCAGGCTGCACACACTTAGGTTACAAAAGTGGATACTGAGGGAATGTACCTCAACGTACTAAAGGCCACATATGACAAGCCCACAGCTAACATCATATTCAACAGTGAATGGCTAAAAGCTTTTCCTCTAAGATTAGGAATAAGCAAGGATTCCCACTCTCACCTCTTTATTCCACAGGGTATTAGAAGTTCCAGTCAGAGCAAGTAAGCATGAAAAAGAGATGAAAGGCATCCAAATTGGAAAAGAAGAAGTAAAACTGTCACTATTTGCAGATGACATGATATTATATAGAGAAAACCAAGACTTCGCCAAAAAACTGTTAGAATTACTGAATAAATTCAGTAAAGTTGCAGGATACAATATCAATAGACAAAGATCTGTTTTCTTTCTATAAGCTAATAATGAATTTTCAGGAAGAGAAATGAAGAATACAATCCCATTTACAATAGCATCAGAAAGAATGAAGTACTTAGCAATAAATTTAACCAAGAAAGTAAAAGACCTATACACTGAACACTGTAAGACATTGATGAAAGATATTGAAGGAGACACAAATAAATGGCAAGATATTCTGCACTCATGGATTGGAAGAATTAATATTGTTAAAATGTCCATACTACCGAAAGCAGCCTATAGATTCAGTGCAATCCCTATCAAAATTTCAATGACATTTTTCAATTTCTATTTCACAGAAATAAGACAAACAATCCTAAACATTGTATGAAAACACAAAAGACTCAGAAAAACCAAAGCATTGTTGAGAATAAAGAACAAATCTGGAGACTTCATCGTCTCTGATTTCAGACTATTTTACAAAGCTAGAGAAATCCAAACAGTATAGTATTGGTATAAGAACATACCCAAAGTTCAATGGAATGGAATAGATAGCCCAGAAATACACTCATTCATATATGGTCAATTAATTTATGACAAAAGAACGAAGAATATACAAAGAGGAAAGGTTAGTCTCTTTAGTAAATGATGCTAAGAAGAGTAGACAGCCATATGCAAAAGAAAGAAACTAGATTCCTGCCTTACACTATACACAACAATTAACTCAAAACAGAATAAAGACTTGAATGTAAGACCTAAAATCATAAAACTCCTGGAAGAAACAATAGGTGGTAAGCTGCTTTACATTTTTTTTGATGATTTTTTTTTTTTTGATCTGACTCCAATAGCAAAGGCAACAAAAGCAAAAATAAAGTGGGACTATATCAAATGAAAAGCCTGCAGAGCAAAATGAAAAGGAAACCTATGGAATGGGAGAAAGTGTTTTCAAATCATATATATGATAAGGGGTTAATATCCAAAATATAAAAAGAACTCCTGCAACTCAATAGCAACACACCCCCCCACACAATTTAAAGAACATTTTTTTAATGTTTATTCTTGAGAAAGAGACAGAGCATGAGTGGGAGAGGGGCAGAGCAAGAGAGGGACAGAATCTGAAGCAGGCTCCAGGCTCTGAGCTGTCAGCACAGAGCATGATGTGGGGCTCGAACCCACAAGCAGTGAGATCATGAAGTTGGATGCTTAACTGACTGAACCACCCAGGTGCCCCCCCAAAACCCTACAATTGATTAAAAAACTGGGCAGAGGATCTGAAAAGACATTTTTCTGAAGACCTACAGATGGCCAACAGGCACATGTAAAGTTGTTCAACATCACTAGCCATCAGGGAAATGCAAATCAAAACTGCAATGAGATATCACTCCACACCTGTTAGAATGGCTATTTATCAAAAAGACGAGAGATAACAAATGTGCACTGTTACTGAGAAAGCAAATTGGTGCAGCCAGTCTGGAAAACAGTATGGAGTTTCCTCAAAAAAATGTTAAAAACAATTACCATATGATCCAGTAATTCCACTACTGGGTATTTATCCAAGGAAAACAAGAGCACGAACTTGGAAAGATATATGTACCCCATGTTCATTGTAGCATTATTTACAATAGCCAAGATATGGAAAGATCCTGTGTCCATTGGTGGACAAATGGATATAAAAGATGTGTGATATATATATATATGAAAATTTTGTGATATATATTTGAAAATGGAATACTACTCAGCCATAAAAATTGAATGAAATCTTGCCATTTGCAACAATATTGATGGACCTTGAGGAGATTATGCTAAGGGAAACAAGTCAGAGAAGGACAAATACTGTATCATCTTACTTATATGTGAAGTCTAAAAACAAACAAACAAAATCAGCTCTTAGAAACAGAGCACAGATTGGAGGTTCCCAGAGGCTGTGGGTTGGGCTGGGCTTAATGGGTGAAGGGGGTTTAAAGGTAAAAACAAACTTCTAGTTATAAAATAAGTCATGGAAATGTAGTATACAGTATGACAAGTATAGTTAATGATACTCTATTGCATATTTGAAAGTTGCTAAGAGAGTAGATCTTAAAAGTCTTCATCACAGGAGAGGGGGGCCTGGGTGGCTCAGTCAGTTAGTCCAACTACTGATTTCACCTCAGGTCATGATATCACAGTTTGTGGGATCGAGTCCCATGTTGGGCACTGTGCTGTTGGCACGGAGCCTACTTGCAATTCTCTCTCTTCCTCTATCTCTGCCCCTTCCCTGCTCACACACTCTCTCTCAAAATAAATAAATATTCAAAAAAAAGGTATTTAAGAAAAGTCTTCCTCACAATAGAAAAATTTTGTAATATATAATGGGACAGGTGTTATCTAGACTTATTGTGATCATTTTGCAATGTATACAAATATCAAATCATTATGTTGTGCATCTAGTATGGGTTGTACTTTAACTCTTTAAGACAGAATTTCTCAAAGTGATGTCCTTGGAATCATTTCCATTTTAGCTCTCTGCTCATCACTGCAGGACCAAAGAACTTAGTGGTAGCAGCTCCCGGAGAAGGCTTTGTGGAAGAGCCCTAAGATACCATGTCACTGTAATGCCAGTCCAAACGTTGGAGCCGTGGAGCACAGATATGTAGCTATCAGTTGCCAACTGTAAAGTGTCTTGTAATATTTTTCTGGTCCTGGCAGTATTAATGAAAAGTCCCCAGGTCATTAGGGTGGAGAAGATTTTTAAAAGGTTTTAAATATGTCACATGGCTCTCAGGCAGTGATGGCATCATCAGAATCAGAGGATGGGGAAGAATCGCCCAGTAAAGTGTTTGATAGGGTTTGGTACCACAACTTTTTCCTTTTCCAATACTCCCTTTATTTACTTTACTGAGATTATTTGGTTAACAATTTGTTAAAACTAACTCACTACAGGGGAAACATATTATTCAGTAAATAAAAATCCATTTGCCATACTTAGAAGGTAGCTGTAAAAATGGATGCATGACAGAAACCTTTATTAAACTTATTTATTTATTTACTTATTTATTATTTTTGTAATGTTTATTTATTTTTGAGAAAGAGCAAGAGACAGAGCATGAGCAGGGAAGGGGCAGAGAGAGACGGAGACACAGAATCTGAAGCAGGCTCCAGGCTCTGAGCTGTCAGCACAGGTACCTCGCTTTTATTAAACTTTAGCTAAGGATTCTTGCCGAAGACTGAGATCCACTCTGTTAAACAGGGAGGTCAGTAGGTGTTAGAGAGGTGTTCAGGACAGACTGGCACCAAAATGAATCTCTCTCCTTGCCTTATTTAAAAGGAGATATAACTAGAAAGAAAACTGTAAAAGAAATAGGTTTCTCACTATGTGGTTCAATGTTATTTAAAATTCTTTGTACCACTACAATTTCAGCTAAAAATTACCTTGAATCCCCCTCTCCAGGAATATAATTCCCACTTATTTAGTTCAATTTCTCTATTTTAAGGGACACTGAAACCGAAAAAAGGAAAGGGATTACCCATTTTCTTTATTTCTTTTTAAATTTTTGTTTGTTTCTTTATTTTGAGAGAGAAGGATAGAGTGAGAACGCGTGCACATGTGTGCGTGAGCAAGCAAGGAAGGGGCAGACAGAAAGGGAGAGAGAAAGAATCCCAAGCAGGGTCTGAACTGTCAGCACAGAGCCCAATGTGGGGCTCGAATTCACAAACCACGAGATCATAACCTGAGCCCAAACCAAGAGCTGGATGCTTAACTGCCTGAGACACCCACAGCCCCACCCATTTTATTTCTTTAAGAATAGTTCTCCTGAAGGACCAAGGGCCTGGATTTCTCACTGGCTGTTGACTAGAAACTGCGCTCAACTCTGAGAGGCCACAGCAGATCCCTGTCATATGAGCTTTCCCAACATGGCCACTTACTTCATCCAGGCAACAAAGAGAGTCTCTAGGGCAAGTCTGTTGGCAAGAGGGAATCTTTTATAACCTAACCTAACCTAATTGCATGGGGGTGACATTGAATACGTTGTATTCTATTGAAGCAAGTCACAGGTTCTGCATATACTCACTGGGAGGGGATATACAAGGGTGAGGGTGTAAATATCAGAATGTGGGGATCATGGGGGGCACCCTAGAGCGTGTCCACCACAGCATACAACAGGGTTCGTTCTGCTATTCTTTTCTTTCTTTCTTTCAATGTTTATTTATTTATTTGAGAGAAAGAGAGGCAGAGAAAGAAGGAGACAGAGAATCCCCAGCAGGCTCCATGCTGTCAGCACAGAGCCTGATGCAGGGCTTGATCCAGTGCACTGTGAGATCATGACTGGAGCCAAAGTCATGATAGACAGCTATTGTGCAGAGTGACCTCAGCTAAACTGAGGATCTTCTGAAAATGCATAGGAAGCCTCTGAAACTATCTTCTATTTATTTATTTAAAAAACATTTTAAATGTTTTATTTATTTCTGAGAGAGACAGACAGACAGACAGTGTGAGCAGGGACCTGAGCTAAAGTCGGACGCTTAACTAACTGAGCCACCCAGGTGCCCCACTATCTTCTATTTAAAGACTCGCTTTCCTTAGACAGTTTGATGTAGTTTGCATTTCTTATTCATTATGACATGAGAAGTATCAGCATTATTATCTACTCTTCGTTGAAGGAGTCTGGGGCCTTGATAATGAGCTCTAGTCAGGTTAGAGATAGTTGCAGATTCTTGCCATTCCTCCTTTCTAGAGGTGGGCTTTGATTCGGGGCTAGTGCTGGGCCTTGTTTGGACCAATAGCATGTGGCCAAACTGATGATATATGTCTTAAATCTGGGCTGTAAGATGTCTGTAATTTCTGCTTTTGTGTGCTTGGAGTTCTCCTTGGAATCCTCCAGCTAGCCTGCCAGAGGAGAGGCAGGAGTAGGAGTCCAGCTAGCCTGCCAGAGGAGAGGCTGCACAGAGGCCTAAAGCTGTGTTTGATGTCTCAGCCCCAACCTCCACCATCTTGGATGCTTTAAGCCACTAAATTTTGGGGTGGTGTGCTATATAGCAATAAATAGCTGAAACTTAAGTTGTAGCTAAGCCATAAACAAATTTTCCTCAACCAGAACTTAACACAAAATGGTGTGTAGTCACTCATACCCATATCCTGTGTAATAAAACCAGAAGAGGGCAGAGTTGGCCAACTACTAGGTCAGGGTGGGCAGTGTCTGTCAAAGGTAGATCATTTCATAGAGTCTTTAAAATGACTTCTTTGGGTCCTTCTACTGTGCTGGGAGATTGCAGGTTCTCAGTTCATTGGAAAAACCCTAATTGCTTGCTAAAAGAGAATGAGCTATGATTTTGCAGCTAAAGGGGTGAGGGGATTGGAAACTCATCAAGTGATTTGACTTAGCACCAGACAAGCAAAAGCTCTTTTGTCACCTAGTAATGAGTCTGGAAATACTCACCTGAAGACATCAGGAGGACAGCCTGAAGGAGAGCTACTTCTGTGTCATCCAGGTTGAAAGAAGACAGTGACATGCCCAGGTCAAAGATGGCGTCTGACACCACCCCAAGACCCCCATTCTTCAGCTGGCCCCGCGTCACTGCCATTTCCCCATTCAAGGTTAAAGTCTCACTTTCTGGGTCATAGCGCACAGCAGCGCGAAGGGACATGATCTCCATGCAGCAGCCTTTGAGGAGGATTATCTGGTCTTCACATGGCAGCTGAAAGAAACCAGCCCACATCAGCAAGAACAAGCGCACAAATGTCACTGAGGAGCGACATGCAGTAGTTTAATAGCAACAGGGATGACATCTTGCAATCACTGTCGCTCCTGCACGTTTTGAGGCTAAGGGTTTTCCCGTCCTACTTGGCTGCACACTTTCAACAACCATTTTTCATACTCTAAGTTGGTCACCAACTTTAACCTCAGTAGTTTGCGTTTCTTTTGTGATGGCTATAGATAGATCTCTAACTGGGCTTATGGTCATGTGTGAGATTGTGCTCATAATCCCTTACCCTGGGGGTTTGTATCCTAACACCAACTGATCACTGCTTGAGAACATGGTTTACGTTAAACTTACCGAATTTTCTCATAGTTCTAGTAGCCAACAGCTGACTCTACTCTTTAGCTGGAAACTCTGCTTCTCTTTGATTTTTGAAGCAGATTTGCTCCTTGTAGGTCTCTCAAAAGGCACAAAATGAGAATGTTTCTGATAGATGCATGTTACCCCTGAGGCCCAGAAATGTAAAAGCTTTGCCCAAAGTCACCCAGTGAATTAGGGGTAGAGGTTGAACTAGAATCCAGTCTTCGTGGCTCCTACGGTAATAATCTCAGTACCTCAGGCACCAGAATTTCTCCACACACTGGAGTTCTTTGCAAGTTCTGTAATTTCATAAGCAATTGGGTTGTCTTTTTAATTAGAATTTGTGATGATGTGATAGCATTTATAGCAAACTTATAAAAAAAAGAATTTTGTTAGTAAAATAACAAAAAGATCAGTGTTTTACTTTTTGGGAGGGGAGAATGTGGAATTAAAAGCCATTATCAAAATAGTTTGAGAGGCTGTTAGTTAATGGACATTTTTGATGCATTGGGCATCATGCTAAGATTTAATGTGTCATCTTATTTAATTTTCATAGCAATATAGTGAAGCAAATATTCTTTTTCAAAATTTTTTAATTTTAATTTTTAAATTTTATTTATTTATTTATTTTTAAATTTTAATTTTTTTAATGTTTATTTATTTTTGAGAGAGAGACACACACACAGAGTGTGAGTGGGGAGAGGCAGAGAGAGAAAGAGATACAGGATCTGAACCAGGCTCCAGGCTCTGAGCTGTCAATACGGAGCCCAACACAGGGCTCAAACCATGATATCATGACTTGGGCTAAAGGCAGATGCTCAACTGACTGAGCCACCCAGGCATCCTGTGAAGTAAATATTCTAATTTCAATTTCATTTATAGAGGTGGAAATCCAGGCTCTGAGAGGGTGAGTAACATGCTAAGGGGTACACAAATGTTTTGTATGTGAGGTTAGGATTTGAAGCTAGACGTTTCAGAATCCAATGCAAAGAGAAGAAGATAACACACTCTTTTGAAGTACTTTGGATATGACTAAGTTACCATAAGCAATGAATATGTAAATTACACATAGTTTTTATCTTTTCATTAAATTAGGTACAAACTCTTTTGGGGCAAAACTCTTGGCAACACACGACTAGTTCAATTTAGGTTGTTACGTAAAACTGAAGATAATACTACTGAATTATATTTAAAATGCTGGGCATTTCATATGTTTTGCTAACTCAGCCTAGCCACCTTACTATTTAATTTCAAATTCCTTAGCTTTTTCTACAGAATAAAAGTCATTTCATATTTGGTTCGAGAATGTATACATGGGAATTCTCTCCTTCCACTCCTTAAAAATAATGACTGTGATTTACTTTTATTTAGGTTCTAATGCTTATTCCTCAGTTATATCCTTGGATTCCTGGCCTAAGATCATGGTAGGAAATGGGAAACCCTGAGCTTGCATAGATCCTCCACCAGTGAGATGAAGAATTGGCCCAAATGGGCACAGGCTGGCTTTAATGCCCACAGGGAACCTTCAGCCTCATCAGGGTCACCTGAGGGCTTGTTAAATACATTGCTGGTTCCACCTTCCAAGTTTCTGCATTCTCCAAGTTCCCAGGGGATGCTCATGCTGCTGGTTCAGGGACCCCACTCTTGAGAGCCACTGGCACGGAATGGCAAAGAGAAATCACTGATCAGATCAAACAGTTTGTTTTTTTATCTGTCATAAAGAATGCAAACGTGGGCGGGCCCCGTCTCTGTAGCCAAGTCTGAATCTAGATGAAGTAGAAGATTTCTTTTTAAAACTTCCTAACTGTTAATTGGTCAGATTTAAATAAAAGTTGAATAAGTATTTGTTAAGAATCACCAACAGTTTAGAAACTAGGCCAGATGCCTTACCCTTTCTGAAAGGGTCTGTAGGTGGGGTGCCTGGGTGGCTGAGTCTTTTAAGTGTCCGACTCTTCAGTTTGGCTGAGAGTCATGAGAGCAAGCCCTGTGTTGGGCTCCATGCTGTCTGCAAAATTCTGTCTCTCTGTCTGCCTCTGTCCCTCCCCCGCTTGTGTTCTTGCATGTGCGCGCTCTCTCTCTCTCAAAAAAAGAAGGGTTGTAGGATGATGGTGAGATTTGTTTCAACATGAGGGCAAATAACCTTAGTCACCTGCCACAGTACTTCACTGTGAGGCTGATGCAGAGGGCACAACAGGCGAGATGCAGGGGCATTTCCACAGACTCTCTGTTACCTTAGGAGAGCGGCACTCAGGCTGATTGGCAAAGATGTCCATGTCCTGCACTCCAGAAGTAATTCTTTTCTTTTTTATGTTTATTTATTTATTTTGAGAGAGAGAAAGATTGCGAGCAGGGGAGGGACAGAGAATGAGGAGAGAAAATTCCAAGTAGGCTCCATATTGTCAGCGCAGAGCCCAGTGCAGGGCTTGATCCCATAAACCGTGAGATCATGACCTGAGCTGAGATCAAGAATCAGATGCTTAACAGACTTAGACACCCAGGATCCCCAGAAGTGATTCTTGATATGTGTTTTGGCAGCTCTGCCAGCAACGATTTTAGATCTTTGGAAGCCCTGGCTGGCCCCCAGCCTTGCTGGTGGATTGGCATGGATCTTTGCGCAAAATTACTGTGAGCACAGTTTAAACATCACATGCACCAAAATGCCTCTGGCAGGAAAGCTCTGGCTCTTCAGACCACCTGGGATCTCCAGCCCACTCCATAGGGAGCTCATGGGCCCACATCGGTCACTTCTTTCTTCAGGGTTCTAAAAGAATGAGAAAGGGCTAAAGGTCCTCAGGAGGCCACAAACACCGGAAACAGATGTGTCTCTGCTGTAAAATTAGCCTCTCCCCACTTTCTTTGCAATTTGGAGACTACAAAAATCAGGGTTGGAAGAGAGATGGAATCGTGACTTTGAAGCAGGATTAAACTTCTGAGGGAACTTGGAGAAGCTTGCCACAGCTGTGCTTGTAAAGTTCCATGTGGACCCCTCACTCTTGCCACCGACATAAGTGTGTGGTGTGTTTGCTACTAGTGGTAGAGGTGGCTTCTCTTCCTTCTTCTTGAACTGAAATCTCTCTCTGTGGTTGGTTTACATCAGCTTTACATTTTTCTAAGAAACATTTTTGGTGGGTATTCAAAGGGGAACAATGACTGACAGGCTAGCTCGAGTTGTAGGGGTAGTGTACTCAATAGACTTTTTCGGGGGACCCTGGGTGGCTCAGTCGGTTAAGCATCCGGCTTCAGCTCAGGTCATGATCTCACGGTTCGTGGGTTCGAACCCTGAGTCGGGCTCTGTGCTGACAGCTCAGAGCCTGGAGCCTGTTTCAAATTCTGTGTCTCCCTCTCTCTCTGACCCTCCCCTGCTCACGCTGTCTCTCTCTCTCTCTCTCTCTCAGAAATAAATAAAAAACATTAAAAAAAATAGACTTTTTCTTCAGACACCAAGGATGGGGGACAAAGGACACAGTCCAGAGAGACAAAGAGAGGGCCAAGAAAGGTCCAAGAAAACAAACTCAACCCAATGAACAAAAAAGAAAGATGACACGTAGAGTCAGGGGAAACCAGCACTGTTGGCAAATGTGTCCACCCTTCTTGAGAGCAATTTGGCAACACATTCCAGAAGCCTTAAAAGGTGTATTTACCCAGCTCCTTAGATTTCACTTTTAAGATTTGCCCTTAGGAAACAGTGCAGTGAGCAGGGCATAGGTACCGGGGTGCTCATTATAGAATGTTTATATTAGTGAAGAATGGGAAATTAACTGAAGATCAGTCAAAGCAGGTAACCTAAATTTTGTAGATCTATTTTTTAGTTTGTGGTCATTAAAACTTATTTTGTGAAAAAAGCACTTAAATGATGTGATCTGTGGTTGAGGGTAAAATGTTTGTTTTAACAGGGTGATAGTAATGTTCTCTTTCTTTCTTTTTTTCTTTTAATGTTTATTTATTTGTGAGAGAGAGAGACAGAGTGTGAGCAGGGGAGGCACAGAGAGAGAGGGAGACGTAAAATCTGAAGCAGACTCCAGGCTCTGAGCTGTCAGCACAGAGCCCAATGCAGGGCTTGAACTTATGAACTGTGAGATCATGACTTGAGCTGAAGTTTGGACGCTTACCCGACTGAGTCACCCAGGCGACCCTATAAAGTTCTGTTTCCTTATTTCAGTGTTAATTACATGAGTGTGTTGAGTATGTGAAAATTCATTTGGCTTCACCTTTATATGTGCCTTTTACTCTTTTTTTGGTGCCTTTTACTCTAATAAAAAGTAAAAAAGTAGTTTCATAAGTAGGAAGTACATTATGGCAGAAAGTATATTAATGTTTCATATTTCATATATATGTGTGTACATGTACATACACACACACACACAACTGAAAAAAGACTCAAATGGGCTCTAGAATGTCAGCAGCTTATCTTTAAGTGGTGGTACTGTGAATCAATATCTTGAGTATGTTATTTTTAATAACCTTCCACACTTTAATAAGTAATAATTTTTAAAAAAGATCGTCAGAGATGTGGAAAGCTCCACACCAAATACAGACACAAGTCAAAATTCCTTCACCAGGACTCATGAGCTCCTCCGGGCATAAACAGCTCCCACTGCAGGGCTGCCTGCCAGTGTGTGAGGTACCTCGGTCCCACCACAGTGCGGGGATAAGAAGGAGGCTCACACTCTCCCTCAGCTAAGTCTGGAGATCAGACACCTGCATCCTGAAGCCCACTGCTTTGTCCTTCTAGATATGGCTCTTGTGAGGCTCAAAAATAGGCAATGAGAAGTGTTCCCATCAGTGTCTGAGGTCTCTTAGACTCCAGCTGGGCTCCCACTATTGCAAACTCAAAGGCACAAATGAGCTAGACGCCAAATCACAATGGAATCATTCTAGGCAAGGAGATGGCTTCTTTCTAGGTGAGGCTAGATTCACTTCTCACTTGGGTAGCTTACCTCTGTGTGGACCTCTCTATTTGATATCTTTCTGGGTCCCCTTTGGGGTGGGAAGAGCAACAGATTGGCACCTGAAGGGGTTTTTCAAAGGGAAAAATTCTCCACTTGATTTATAAAAGGAAGGCTAGAGGCAGGATGGTAATGTAATAGACAAAAGAGCAGCAGCATTAGCAGCTGAAATTCATGGATATACTTAGGACCAGGCACTATCCAAGCACTTGACATATAGGATCGCATTTCAACCTTGCAGCAGCTCTGAGAGGTAAATACTATTATGATTCCCATTTTCAAGATGAGATAACCAGAATTTGAAGACGCAAAATAACTTATGTAGGATAGTTGCCCATTTGGCTGACTGTAGATCCCATGCCCCCAGCTACCACTTAGTAAGACTGCTTAAGTTAGGGATGAGGTGTGCAAAAGGGAAAGCCCAGGAGCTCTATTGGGTGAGCTCTTCAGGGCGCCTTGAAGATCGGGCAAGAAAGGGTGTGCTTATAGGAAAAGGGAGGAGATATAAGGAGTTATTAAGATCCTTAATCTGTGAGGAAGATCCTTATTCTTGAGGAGGAAACAACCACACAACTCTTTTTGCTGTGATATGTAATGGAAACCATATCGACCTCGACTCAAGCCACGGCTGTTTGGTTAACGTAATCTCTATCCTGCAAATGTGTTATAAGGTTTGGATTCAATGTGGGTAGACTTAGGCATGGTAACTGGGACATCATAGGTGCTGAATGAACAGAAGTTATTGCTGTCCTATTTTCTATGCCTGGAGTCAGTGGGTGGATAGGATCTTCAGCCTCATGTGGACCAAGCTGATGAATGATGACTGAATAGAGAAGGTAGGAAAATAAAAATGAAACAGAGTGCATTTTCATTTTGTACAGACATTGCTTTCATGTCACTAAGTCCTTACTAATTAATATTAAATTATAAATAATACTCAGTATTCCTGGAAATTGATGGAACTATAATGAAAAATAATGCAGAAGGAGAAACAGTTTCCTCACCTCACAAAACATAGGCAACTTTTTGGCAAAATCCACCACTCTGGTAATTGCTGGTGTGATGATTTTTGTAAAATGGCTGAAGGCTTCCAAGTCAACCTTTCCACCTTCTGGGGCATTTACTATTGGTGCTTGTCCAATATCTTCTGGCTAAGGAGGAGAAACAAGAAAAATTTAATTAAGATTTGAATTAAGAAGGATCCTTATTTCTCATAGTTCTCATGTGGCAGAAAATCTCTTCTGAATTGACATACTATGCAATTCCAGTTTTCACTTTGCTTATTAACAAACTATGCAGTTTTCACATAGTTCAGTTCTCTGAACAAAGATATATGTCTTGGCCATTGCTTTGAGAGCCCCCAGTGATAATGTTCATAAGATTGTTGCTGCAGAAATAGAGAGAAAACAAGTGAGAGAAAGAGGGAGCCAGAGAGAAACAACAGGAATTTGTTTCTGAATGTGCGAAGGATGCCAGATAACAGACGTGCTATGGACTCTGGGTGGCATTTTCAGAGCATTGCACATTCTGGCGCGTTAGACTGTGATGGAGGAGTATGATGGGATATCTTGGCAAGTAGCACCCTGTGGATTCATTCTTGCTTTTGACCGAGCTGCTGGGGCTCGAAGTTTCTGTCTGTTCTCCAGACTCCAGTGGAGGGGGTCTCGGTGGGCTGAGGGGGAGAACTCTAGGTCGCTTAGAGGAACTAAATTGTATAAAGTTGGCAAACTTTCAGGCAGAGTGGGGAATTTGCTAGGGTTTGGTGTCTCTTGGCACTTCTCTGTCATTGGCTTGCATAAGAACAATCCATAGCCTTGCAACTCAAAGATGGTGTAGCAGCTTGGGTGTCACCTGGGGACTTGTTAGAAATACCCTCTGCCCAGATCTAATGGTGCAGATTCAGCATTTTAGTAAGCTTCCCAGGTGGTTGTGCTCATGTCAGCCCTCCTGTCGTCCATTGGCACTCTAGCTCCTTAGCAGGGCACTCAGAGACCATCAGGGTCTCTCCTGCATCTGCTCTTGTCACCTGTGTTTCCTGCCAGGAACAGTCCTCTCGGTTGTCCTTTCTTGTGATAATAATGACCGCCATTTATCTGTGGCCAAGCAAGCCAGCCCCTTTGAGGGAGCACATTATCTCAAGCAGTTCTCACACAATCCTGATTGGCAGATGAATAAACAAAGAGCTCAAGGAGGTTAAGAACAATCTCCTGAGGCCAGGACTCAGATATCTGGTCACCCAGACTCCACACAGCAATCTGCCAGGAGCCCCGCCTCTACCCCCTATCTTGAAGCTTTAATAACCTATATACTTTTGACACCAGAGGGCAAAATTCTACTCCTCTTAATAGTCCCCTTCCCAGCCTCTCCCACTGCCTTCCTGAAAGTTGTAATCGAAGGGATCAGAGACTCAGGCCTGCCCCACGACCATCTCTGCCTAGAGCCACAGTGAACAGAACAGAACCAGGCACCCAGGGTTAGGAGGCGTAAGACAGTAGGCAGAGGTGGGCTGGAGGAACAGGCATCATGAGTGTGTCAAGCAAAGCTGACTCCCTCGCTTGGAGTGGCCTGTGTACTGCCACGTTCCCCAAACACCCCTGTATCAGAACGACTGGGTTAGGCTTCTGTGTCTAGAGTTTCTGATGCTGTAGATTGGGTGGGTGAGGGGGGGTGCCTGGGGACAACCTGAATTTCTAACAACTTCCTGAAGCACGCTGATGCTGCTGGTCTGGGACCACACTTGGAGAACCACTGGGCTGGCAGCAACCGCTTCCAGCTCAGAGTAATCCAGTTGCCATTTTCTTTCCACTCGCCCCCAGTCATTGCTCACGTCTAATTTTTAGCACAAAGAAAAGCAAAGGATGATTCTTTTACTGACTTGTTACCAGGGCACCAGGGTCAACAGGAGCAGCCCAGGCCCTCTGAGGGTGTGGCAGGAGCTGTGGTTACAGCCTAGGGGAGGATTTTAACATTTATTACATAACAAATTCTAGCAGCATTGTCCTTTTAGGGGTTATCCACTAAGTTCTCTGTTTATTTTATTTTACTTTTTTTGGGGGGGGGTTGCTTTGCAGGCAGCAAGTGGTGGGAAAGGGACCCAGTCTGTCATGTTATCATAGTCAGTGACAATGTTTTGGGGCAGCTGTTGGCATGGGGAGCCCATGGGAGGCTACGGTTCTGTTGGCTTTCTGGATGCAGATGGAACTGATGGAATAATCACATGTATAGCTTCTGTGTGTGCGTGTGTGTGTGTGTCTTTCTCACATAGACTGAGCTAGGGGAAAAGGCAAATCTAGGCACTACTGCTCATGGTATTCTTCTCCTCCTTGTCTGTCTTTATAATTTCTCCCACCCCAGAAATGAGGCTCATTTCATCTGCCTTGTCTATCTTACAACTCTCTCTTGAAGATTGACTGATAAAAGGAACATGGTCACACGTTAAAAAAGAAAGAGTTTTATACACACACACACACACACACACACACACACACAGGGTGAACCTTTTTAGAAATAAAAATAAAATAAAAATACGTTAACATTTTAAATAGTTTGGCCTGGTTGAATCCAAATGTCTTGCCATTGAACACTGATAGATCTGATCTGATTTTACTGAATAGTATTCAGTGTCCTTTGGAATGTGCGAGTCAATATTGATGTTAAAAGTTTCCATTTAGGGGCGCCTGGGTGGCTTAGTCGGTTAAGCGTCCGACTTTCGCTTAGGTCATGATCTCGCGGTTCGTGGGTTCGAGCCCCGCGTCGGGCTCTGTGCTGACTGCCAGCTCAGAGCCTGGAGACTATTTAAGAGTCTGTATCTCCCTCTCTCTCTCTGACCCTCCCCTGCTCACGCTGTCTCTCTCTCTCTCTCTCTCCTAGAAATAAATAAAAATATTAAAAAAAAGTTTCCATTTAATCTGTGAGTTCATGGGGTATTTGAATCATGCTTGTGATACCTATAAGGGTTTGAAAAAAGGAGGGAAATTATACAAGGAAAAAAAAACGGCAATATTAATTAAAATTAACCCCCTAAATGTAACTACCTCACAAACTTTTCTGTTGAAAAATCAATATCAGGGTAGGAAAAAAACATATTTTAAAGTCTCTGGGTATTTAAAGGAAAATACAATTGCTAGAAGTAAAATCCTATACAAAGTACAAGCTTTTTATTATTATCAAGGGTTATCTCCATAATGGATCTTGGATACCAGAAAAAATACATGGATGGATGGATAGATAGACAGACAGACATAGTCTATGAATTCACCTGCATTCACACATCAGGTATGAAAAATTAAGGTTGAGCAATGCAAACTTGTCTGTGACTTCCCTGAAGATTTTTCACCCATAAGGACAACAGATCATTTGCTACCATATTTGGGATATGTTAAAAATAAAGAGGAGTACTATTTGACATCAGTTGTATCTAATTAGGTATGTTAATACAGCTAGTAGCCTTGTAATCCATGACATGAGTTGTATTTGCTCACACACACACACACACACACACACACACACACACATGCACTGAGCGTAAGCTCAAGCTCAGGTACTGATGATCAGCCTCTGGCTTGCGGATTCACCAGGGTAGACGGTGGGCAAAGCCTGGCTTTTTTGCCTCTGTGGTACACACTGCCTTAGCTGGCTCATAAGGGTGTTTCCAGTTCTCATTCTGACTTTCTTGCTCCTTTTCTGCCCTAACAGGCCTCCTCAGCTCACTCAGCCCACCTGTTCACATCCCCTCCCCAATTGGCTTTGCACTTTTGTGGTTTGGAGCTGCCTTTCCTCTGACTTTTACTTTCTCTGAGGTACCCGCTTCCATCCTATCTTGGCCAATTCCAAATCCTACCCCACTCAAATTCTGTTTTCTCCTTGAAGTCTTCCCGGATCACTTGTGTGAAATGATGCCTTCCTCACTGGAACACATATGGTAGCTCATGTACATTTCTCATGTGGCATTTAGGCATTTATTACTATTACTTTATATTGTAGTTATGTAGCTACAGAGCTAAGATATGGATTTCATTGGCGGGGGGGCATAAGCCTTAAGTATCTTTGTCTACTGTGTGGAAAGCATTGGGCTAAAAGGTGGAGGACAGAATGCTTGTTGCTTGGTTGAGTGAATAAACGTAGGTTTATATACATGCAACCAATATTTATTGGGCAAGTACTATGGGGCCAGGCCTAGTTCTAGATGCTGAGGTTACATCAGTGAGCAATGTATCCTTAAGGAACTTTCATTGTATTGAAGGAAGACAGACAATAAATAAAAAGAATACTCTCACAGAAGAATTTGTTTGTGACTAGACTGGAAGTGACATGATAGTATGGGGGGGTCAGGAAGCAGATGGGTAGCCCAGGGTGAGAAGTGATGTGTGAGCTTTAACGGGAAGAACATCAAGAAGGCAGCTCTCCACAGAGCCAGGGGAAAAACTGGCTCTGTGCATTTCAGGCAAGGGGAAAAACCAGTGCCAATTCCTGAGACCAGAAAGGAGGCCCATGTGGTAGGAGCCCAGAGATTTCATGAGATGAAGGACAGAGGCAGGTAAGGGTCCCATGATGACAGGTCTTCTGGGTTCTGGGGAGGAGACAGGGTTATGTAGTGTGGCTCCACTGAGAGGTTTCAAAGAGGGGTGCAGCAGGATGAGAGTTTGGGTTATGATGCAGAGAAGGGATATGGGAAACCAGAAGAAGAAATGGGCTGGCGGCAACAGCCTTTTGGGTAGGAGATGAAGTGGGCTGGACTACAGGACAGCAGTAGAGATGGAGAGAAGCAGAACTCAAACCTATCCTGGGAGCCGGACACAGGGATTTCTGATGGACTGGATGTGGGGTGTGAGACAATGAAGAATCCAGAGTGTCTCTTCTTGGGCAGTGGAGGGGGTGGGGGACCCAAAGGGAGAGATTCAGGGGTGTGTACAGGGGTGAGCTTCAACTAGCTCAGTACTAGAGCAGGCTGGTGGTGCACAAATAGAGACTAAGTGCCTTTCTGCTTTGCCTGTTCATCAGTGTTGTTCAAGGTGAGTGGCAGATGCTGCCAGTTGACCTCTTTGTAATGGCTGGTTCAGAGGCGAGGACCTCTTGGCTTGAACCTGCAAGCTCTTTGGTACATGCCGAGTGGGATGGGGCCAGACAGGACTCTTCCCTTTCTCTGCTGATC